CGGGCCCGGGAAGCGCACGCGCGCTGCTAGCTCCCCAGGAGCGAGGCCCAGAGCGCGCTCGCGTCGTGCTAGCGCCGCTGGTTCCAGCCCCAGAGCCCGCCGCCACTCCGCCAGCTGACCCCGTAGAAGTGCCACGTCGCACGCCCAGCCCAGTCCTGGTACTGGTGCCGCCGCTGCCGCCAGACTAGCCAGCAGAGCCGGCCGCCACGCCCCAGCCCGCAGCGCCGCAGCCTTCCTTCGAGCAGCACTGGGAGAAGCGGGTGGCAGCGCCAGGAGCAGCGCCCCCGCCTGGGCCGGGGGAAGCGCTCGCCGTAGCCATTCGCATAGCCCCGGGAGTCCTCCCGGCCGTAGAGGGAACACCGGCGGCGGCGCTTCCTCCAGCACCTCCCACGTCTCGTCTTCCGGGCTCAAAGCGGCCGCGCGCTCCGATTTCCTAGCGCCGACGACCTGTTGCACGTTTCCACTGCCAGCTTTTTCTGAACCTTCCCCACTGCCTACTTTCTGCGATTCAGTGCGCTCACTGAGTGCATTCTCCAACACCCCTCCGCCCTCTAAACTGTCGCCTCCGGGTTTCTCCACCTTTTCTTCTTCTTCCAGAGACTCCGGATCCTCGCCCTCGCCGTCTGTTCGCACACAGACAAGCGGCGCACCTGGTGGCACCAAGGCCCGGACCTGAGCCCAATCCTTCTCAGTAGGGGCCCCAGGGGTGACAAGGATGAGGGCATCGTAGTGGGTCGGGTGAGAGGCGGCAGCGGCGGCAGCAATGACCGCGGGGCCCAGAGGCACAGTCCAGAGCACCACATTGGGGCGCTCTGGGGCCGGGAAGGGAGTGGGCCCCACGGGCGCAGAAGCGGGCACAGCACATGGGTCGCCCGGATTCAATCCGAGTAGCACGTCCAGTACAAGGCTCACGTCAGCCGTGCCGGCCACAGCCAGGTCCAGCCGTGCGCTGCCTAGGAGTTCCAGGCCTGCGCGCACCCACGACAGCGCCGCCTCCAGGCCACCGGTCTCGAAGGCCTCTCGCACAGCCTCCAGCTCTGCTGCGCCCAGCACCTCGAAACCATCCTGAGCCGGTGGCAGGAGCCTGCAGGGGCAAGGAGGGATGGGGTCAAAGGGAAAAGGACTAAACGCTGGAGTGCTGGGCTAGGGAGACAGGGACTCGACTATGATGACAAGGGAGATTTCCGAATATCTCGGAGGCAGAGCAGGAAAGGGAGGGGCCAGACTGATGGCACAGCAAATAGGTGGGGTGGGGCTAGGCCTTACAGCAGCAATGGGGCGGGTTGACTTGAGCTCTTGTTACAACAGAGCCTAAGCGGAGGGTAGACTTCCTCGAGATACAGTCCATGGGGGCGGGGCCTTTCCAAGGGTCGGCCGGGTTAAGAAAAGGCCAGTCTGGGCGGGACAAGGGGTGGGGCTTAGAGCAAAGACAGAATCACGACCGTACCGTTGCTCAAACGAAAGTAGAGCACTATTTGATACCAGTTGTATTTTTTTTTGGACGGCTGGTATGGGGATCTAAACCCGTGACCTTGGTGTTATAAGGCTGCACTCTAACCAACTGAGCAAAACAATCAGCCCTGGAGCACTATTTGACATGGATAATGTCCCCAAGGGCGCTTTTTCCTGAAGCTGAGCCTAAGGAGGAAAAGTGCAGGGAGAAGTTTCATCCACTAATTCTCACAAATGGGTGTGGCTGAGGTGACACGGGACAGGCTAAGGAAAAAAGATGAGCAGCAGACCTGGACATGAGGCTGCCCCTCTCTGAGCCTCATTTTGACGTCAATAAAACGAGGCGGATGACAGTTGAGGGAGAAAATTCAGTAGGCAGCCAACAAGTGGGCACAGAAACCAGAGGGGATTGAAGAAAAGAAGTAGAGGGAGGACATCCATAAGATAATAAAGTTCACTGACGGCGTAGCTTTAGGGCAACCGAGGTCTCTTGAGAACCGTGCTGATGATGGGGAGGACGGGAGGGCTCGAGAGTTCGTGTCTTCGGGTAAAATCTTCGCGGGGGTCACAAACTTGTGTGTCGAGAGGGAGCCCTCTTTCAAAATTTTGCACAGGGTCAGTATTTGGGCGATAGGTCCGGGCCTCTCTAGAATTCTCGCTAGAGAGGGGGCCTTGTGACCTCAAGAGTGCTAGCAGGAGGCGAGACGCTGATGACAGGTCAGGACCTCCAGTTAACCTCTGGCTGGAGTGGAGCCCATTACAGAAAAGGGTCAAGCACAGAGCTGTCTCTTGGGGTAGAACCTCTCAAAACCTGCGCTGAGGGGCGGGGCCTGGAAGAAAGAAGGGCCTCAACAGACATCGAGTCAAGCTTTCCCCCAAATTCGCTGGGGGTGGGGTCTCGTGGACCTCAAAGAGCACCGTAGGGGGAAGGGGTATAGACTAAGGGACTAGGCCTCCCCAACCCAGCCTGAAATCCGGCGCTCACCTCTGCAGTTCCTCCGCCTGGCTCCGCAGCGCCGTCCCCAGGCGCTCTAGCTCCTCGCAGCTGTCGCTGCTACCGCAATTCGCTGGCAGCACGAAGAGAGCGGCGGCTCCTAACCCCGCTCTGTCCAGCAGGGCCGCCGTCTGATCCCGAACCTGGGCGTCATTCTGTGAATCCCCAGGACAGAGGTTCCGCACAGCCAGCAGCGGAGTCCCTCGGGTCAGGGCGGCCCTCGCTGCCTCTCCCAGAGCTGGGTCCAAGGGTTCCCCGTTCCCCTCGAGTCTGGGTAACACCAGTACCAGGACGTTGGCCTCTGCCGCCCAGGGCCCCGGCGCTGCGGGTGGGCAGTTCAGCTCACCCAGGAAGAGGCCTGGGCCCGCAGCTCTCAGGCTGGGGACCCCGGAGTCCGGCCGTTCCTCGGGGGCCTCTAACGTCTCCACATCCTTGTCGCATAGCGCCGCGATCAGTGCGGACTTTCCTGAACCCGGAGGACCCAGGAATAAGGCGGTCACGTCACCCCGCGGCGGAGGCATAGCTGAAAAGCAAGGATGGGAAAGACCGGGTCAGGGAGCGCTCTGCCTTTTTCCTTCCTAGCCGCCCCACTCTGGACCCAGACTTCAGTCCTCCATCCTTGCCCCATCTTACATTCTCAGGAATCACTCTCCAGGACCTAGAAATCCAGCGCCCAGGCCCTATTCCCCAGGGACCCAGGCGTTCTGTCCGCCCTCTTTCTGGATGCAAGCGTTTCACTTTCTGCCCCCCAAACTAAAAAATCTAGCTTCCTGTCCCTCATTCTTAGGGGACATGGGGATGATCCTCCCCTCCCCCATTCCAAATCACCAACCGAGCAAAGAGCACTATACACGAGACCGCAGTTGGTGACGGCCGGTCAACCGCTGAGAAGCCCCGCCCCTGGGGTCTGGAGGACGGAGGCAGAAAAGGTCAGACCGCCCGGATTTAGGGACGCCGGGATGCGTTCCGGTGGCTCTATCCTGACGTCACTCCCCCTAGGAGATGGTGTGTCTTAGAAGCATGACTGCAGAGACACGGCCCTTCGCGGCGCCTGCGCAGAGCGACAGAGGTGCCCACACACTCCAGCTTCTGCTGCCTCGGATCCAGGAACAATGAGAGCCAAAGCGCCTGCGCGCCAGGAGAGCCTAACTGTACTTGCGCAATGAGCTTAGGTTTGTAAGGCACGGGTGGCTTCAACGTCATCATAACGCACCCGAGTGTAGAGAAGGACCCTGCCTGGTTATTTTTAAGGACCAGGTTGGCGCAACTGTACTACTGCCAATGGCAATCAGGGACCTAGGCTTCCAGGGGCTCATCAGGCGAAGAGCGCGGAAACCTCGGGGACCTGAGACTCAGTGGGCCCCACCCCACTTCTCTCCGGGTGGCGGCGCTGTGTCGAGCGACCGACAGGCGCAGCGAAAGGAAGCCCCCTGCTGTAAAGAAAGCAGAGGTCCGGGCGCCAGAGGCAGCGCTTGGGGAGAGCGGGACAAGGTGGCTGAAAACGCGCGTGGGAAGTGGGGGTTCTGGTAGCACGTATCACACGGTGTCAGAGAGGAACGTCTCCTGGGAAGAGGAAGGCTAAAGGTGAAGTACCACCACCTGTCCCAAGACACATGAGACTAGGATGAGGCTGGTATCAAAGATCAAGGGTCCCACGCTCTGAATTCAGGGAGCTAGTTTGATGCAGGGGTCATAGACCACACAGATGAGAAAGCTTTAGGGGAGTCCAATCTTTTGGGAGTTTTGAACCTTCTCTAGTAAGAGTTCCATCAGATAGAGTTCAAAGAAGATGGTGTGTCATGGGAGTCAAAGGCTAACAGAAGTCTCTATGTCAAAGGCCATAGGATTAGTGGGCCCTGTAAGGCTGGTGACAGATGAGTGGCCTCACTCATGCGTGCTCCCCTCTTGACTATAGGGGTCCCAGTCGCCATGGAGGACCCACACCCTGAAAAGACCATGGAGCTACAGGATTCACGCGAGGAGAGGAGTCCCCGCAGTCCAAGAGGCAACATCTGTGAGTACTGCTGGGTAGAGGAGCGTGCGGTACAGGAGCTGATACTAAAGGATCTCTAGAGCATTTCAGTGTCCAAGACCCTGCAGGGCCTTGTCTGTTGGAAGAGGGCTGTAATGGCCCCAGAGCTGCCCTACCAGGAACTGCCTCTCCTCACCCTTATGCTCAGATGTACTCACCCTACTTTGGCCACATAAACAGGAATGGGATGTAGTTCAGAGGGACAGGGTGGCTTCCAGGAGGAGAGGCTTGGGTTGTAGATGTGGCAGAGAAAGTCTCTACTGTGAGAGGAAGCCCCAATGTTCCAGTCCCAACTCTGCCCTAGACTTTCAGTATAACTTGGCCCTCAGTTTCCCCATCCGTCAGGAGAGGCCGCCAGTACCCACCTCACAGGGCTGTTATGGGGATTAGCTGCAAGAAAAGGGAAAGCTTGATTTTAACGAAGGTAGCCAGCTTGAAATATAACACCAACAGCTTCCAGTGAGTGCTTATGTGCTAGGCATTCATTTTCAGATTATGAATGAGTTTAACATTTATTATCTCATTCAGCCCTCCTAATAAAAGACCCTTTGAAACTGGCAGTATCACTTCAAGATGAGGGAACTGGGACAGAGAGAGGTTAACTATTTGTAACAAGAGCCTTAGTGTCAGTGCCCTCCAGCCAGAGACCACCAGGAACACACTTGTAGCTGAACAAGTTAAGTTTATTGTTCTTTGCAATAGGGAACACACACCATGGGCGCACTATAGGATTTGGACCTGTGTGTGGTGATTTGGGGGGAGGGTTCAATGAAAGGGGTTTTGCTCTGGATTGGATGCTGCCAGGAAGGAGGGGTGACTCTGATCGGATATCCTAATAAATCTTTTCCAGAAGCAGGGAAGAAAAGAGCAAGGCTCACGCTGGGATTGATAAAACAGCGGCAGTCATTCATATTAGCCAAGATAAGGGGATGGTTAGTCATTTTTGTGCTTTGGACAACATTCAAGTTTTGTCTGTGTTCAGACATTATGGCCTGGTCTTGTTTTGATTCACACTAGTCACAGCATGGCCTTGTCTGTCATTAATTCTGTGATATTGTTTATGTTCAACAGAATGTGAAGGCCTAGCTCTGAGTGCCAGGCCAGATCCTGGATGTCGGGCTGTGTTTCTGATTCACTAGTAATAATTACACTTCTAAGCACTTATATATAAATTAATTCATTTATTCTTTCAAACAACCCTATGAGGTAGATACATTTTCCAGATTAAGTGCCTAGGAAGTGGTGGAGCCGAGATTCAGTCCCCGGTGGTCTGGCTCCAAAGGCTGTGCTCTAATCACTACAAGGCTCTGTTGGACAGGTAAACTCTCTGGGTTCCAATCCTGGCTCCCCCATTTCATTTCCTAGCCTCATGACTGTGGGCAACCTGCCTAACCTCTTTGAGCCTCAGTCTGCTCATATATAAAACAGGTCCAATACAGTTCTCCTGTACAGTTGTCCAGCACTAGCATAGAGCCTAGTACACAGAGCACTCAACTTTGTTGACGTGATTCTGGGGCTTAGTAGAGGTCCTGGAGACTCCTGCTGGCCTCCCCCCCGACCTTTCCCCACATCCCTCAGGCCACCTGGGGGCCCTACAGTGCACCCGCTGCCTCATCACCTTCGCCGACTCCAAGTTCCAGGAGCGTCACATGAAGCGGGAGCACCCAGCGGACTTCGTGGCCCAGAAGTTGCAGGGGGCCCTCTTCATCTGCTTCACCTGTGCCCGCTCCTTCCCCTCCTCCAAGGCCCTGATCGCCCACCAGCGCAGCCACGGTCCAGTTGCCAGGCCCGCCCTGCCAGCTGCACCCACCTCTGCCCAGCCCACCTTCCCTTGTCCTGACTGTGGCAAGACCTTTGGGCAGTCCGCTTCTCTGAGGCAACACCACCAGGTACATGAGGCCCGGGCCCTTTCTGGTCCCTTTGCGTGCACTGAGTGTGGTCAGGACTTTGCCCAGGAAACAGGGCTGCATCAACACTATATTCGGCATGCCCGGGGGGAGCTCTGAATGCAGCTTAAGCCCTCTCCATGGTGACAGGGGCTCTGTGGCTGGTGGGACCCTCATGATATGGGAAACAGGTCCCCTGGGGGCCTTGGAGGGATTTGCTTTCCTCCCCAGGACGGCAAAAGGGTCTTGATAAACAGGATCCAGAAGATTATCATTTAGAACTCAGTCTTTGGAGGATACATGGCCTTTAGGAAACAGTGAAATCAGACAATTGTGAGATCTGTTTTAAAACAAATGAGCAACAGGGAAAAATGACTAGTATCTCCCTCTTTCCCAATTTAATAACTAGCTACAGATTGTGTAATCACCTTTAATTCATCTGAGATGGATACCATGGACTGTAGGAGCAAATTGCCCTGGATCTGTGCCTTCATGGGGGCTCAGGGAAGGTGAAGTGTTGCTGGCCTGTAAAGCCAGTGCCACTGGTTGAGTTCCAAACCTGAAGCAACTTGGGCCTTTGTGGATGGGGCAGCAAAGTTGGGAGCTGGACCCCAAGTCAGGTAGAGGTTGCAATTTGAGTCCTTGTCTCTTCTCACCACCCCCATCAGCCTTCCCCACTCAAAGAGGGGCCACGGCATTGGATGGCACTAGCCCCCAGATAATTCATGCCCATTTAAATAATTTTGTGTACTACTCTAGTCATGGAATATTTTTTATACATGTAGGTGAGGTGGCATGAATAAGATAACAGAAATAGTATCTAAAAACAGAGAACATCCATATTAAAAGGTCTAAACAGGGAGCTCTGGCTTTTCAGCAGGAATTTCCAGAGAACGTAGAGGTGTAGAGATAGGGAGCTCAGGATAGAGTTAGCTGAGCCCAGTTGGGAAACTGGTTTGGTGTCAAACAGAGATACCTTCTGTTTTGTGTTTTATTTGGCCAGCATTGAGAGATTTCCCATTAAGATGCTATTTTCAGCTCTCTTGAAAGGCCCAACCCAGGGCTTACATTGTCAACAGGGACAGGGCAGAAGCTACAAACTGGAGCTGAGCAGTGCGTGTCGCCCTCAGACACGAGTCCCACCAGACCAGGGCCAGTTTTATTCCCTTATATTTCCTACATACAAGACTCAAACTCTATTTAATTGAGGGATGTTTTGAAAGCCCACAGGTGAAATGGATGTGGTACAGACTGAGAGCTGTCTCCCAATTTTTAGTTAGGCACATGGTAGCTAAATAGACTACATTTCCCAGATTCCCTTGCAGCTAGATGTGGCCATGTGACTGAGTTCTTGCTAAAGTCCTCGTTAGAATCCTCAAGCTTTCCTCCACCTTCCCAACCGGAATATGGACATGGTATCCAGCCATCTTGAACAATGAAGTTTACAAAAACACAACATGTGGGATGGCAGAGCAACAAGATAGCAGGAGCGAGATCTCTGGTCAACTTCATGAACAGAGCCACCACACCAGCCCACTTTCATACTGTTATGTAAGAGAAAAATAAACCTCTATCTTGTTTAAGCCACCATTATTTTGCGTTTCTGTCACATGTAGCAGAATTTGTAAGGCAGGGGTCTGCAAACTATGGCTGAATCTAGCCTGCTGCCTGGTTTTACAAATAGTTGTATTGGAACATAGTTATGCTCATTCATTTACATATTATCTGTGGCTGCTTTTGCATAGAACAGCAGATTTCAGTAGCTGCAACAGAGACCTTATGGCCCACAAAGCCTAAAACAGTTATCACTGGCCCCTTACAGCAGAAGTTTGTAGACCCCTGTCTCACAGACACACAGCCTTCTCTGGGTCTAGAAGCAAGATTCGCACCCTGAAAAATACCACTTCTAGAAGGCGTGTAGGTGTGTGTGTGTGTGTGTGTGTGTGTGTGTGTGTGTGTGTGTGTGTGTAAAACCAAGGTTAAAACCAGCCTAAGGATCTAATTCCACATGCTCTCCTGAGGTAGGCAGCAGCCTGCCCAAGTACACCCTGAGCTTCCTGTTCTTCTGTGTATACTTCCCTACATGTCAGAGATTCCCAAGACTTCAGAGAGCATCACTGGTAACTTCCAAATCTTTATCTCCAGCCCAAACTGCAGACATGAGACAAATGGAAACCTCAAACTTAAAATAGGTCAATATGATTCCTGCAGCCCCAACCTGCACCACAACTGCCATCATATTAGTATACTGTGCATTCTACTTTTAAATCCTTGAGTTTTTGCACCCCAGCTATAGCCCTAGTCTCCCAAATGCTGCCCTTGCTACCGCTACTGCCCCCCTCCAATCTCTCTATTACAGACTACAAATCAGCTCACATCACTCAATTAAAACCTTCTAATTACATCCCATAAATACCATACAAAGACCTTACCCAGGCCCACAAAACTTAATAATGACTGGGCCCCAGCCCACTAAGCAACTCAACTCCCTCACTGCTCATTTTTTTTCACTATACACCCACACATGCCAGGCTGGCTTCTGCCTCAGGGCCTTTACACTTTGTATTCCCTCTGAAGTGCTCTTACCCCAGAACTTTGCAAGGCTGCCTTCCTTCTCATTATTCAGGTCTCAACATGTGCAACTTCCTAGAAGTCCTCCTTAACCTGGTTGGCTAAAGGAGCACCTCCAACCCTCACCCTGATTTATTTCCTTTCTAGCACTCTTCAGCACCTAGAATTATCATTTTTGTTTATGTGATTATCATCTGTGCCCTTATACAGGAATCCAAACTCCTGAGGACAAGGAAGTATTTTGTCTCCCTCACTGCTACATTCCCAGCACCTAGGACAGTGCTTAGCATGGAGACTCAAAAAATATTCCTTGACTGTGACCGTTGTTTACATAGTGTCTCTCAGGCTAAGCCCATCCTTCCATACGGCTCTGTGATGCTTGGCTTTCTACACTTTCCCAGATTCCCTTGACAGCTGGCTTCCTTAAGTTCTACCCATGAGAGGTATGGGCAGAATGGAAGGAGGAAAGAGACTCACCTTGCTTTGGGATCCTGCTGAAACCCTCCAGCAGCAGCACGAGCTCCAGCATCTTTCTATATTCTCAGCACAAGGACACTGTGCCCCTCCTAAGGTTTAAGCACCTGCCATGTGGCACTTTGTCACTGGTCCCTACACCGGCACCAGCTGCACATGGCTTGTCCTCCAAGCTCCTACTGGGTTTTAGTAATCTCACTTCTCTTTTTGTATCTCAGTCAGTCCTAGAGTGGGAGTGGATTCTTGCACACACTAATTTCTGGGCTACCTTGTTTTTCCAAGTTTGCACTTTCAGCCTTCTAACACCTGTGTAATAATCATTCTCTGTATTAAATCAAATCGTCTCTTTGGAATACCTGGCTTGCTTTCCATAACCAGACTGGGCACTGACTGAATTATGCAAATGGCAGACCAGGTTTCCTGATTCCTAGCATCTCTCTTGATCCTTAGGAATATCTGCTGATGGATGGATGATTCTCTACGTAATGTGCTAAAATAAATCCCTGTCTTAACACTAAGGGTTGAGGATTCAGATCCCCATACTGTCCAGCTGCCAAAAAGAAATCCTTGTCTTATGACGGAAGAGGGGTTAGGCATGTCGCCCCAGGAAATGAAACCCATTATTACACTCATCAATGTGCAATGGTTTGTATGTATGTGTTCCTCCAATATTCCTATGTTGGGAACCTAGGACCCAATGTGATAGTAAAAGGGGTCTTCAAAGAGTTCATGGAAAGATAAAGATTCATATTATCTTTTGATTCTGTTTTTCCATGAACTTTTAAAGTACACTCGTATGAAGGGGTGGGGCCTTTAAGAGGTGATTAAGTCATAAGGACTCTATCCTCATGAATAGGATTAGTACCCTTATAAAATGGCCTGAAGGAACTTGCTAGCCTTTTTGCTCTTCCATCTCTTCCACCATGTGGAGACACAGCATTCATCCCTTTTTGCCCCCTTTCACTATAAGATGAAGCAAGAAGGCATCATCTTAGAAGCAGAGAGCAGGCCTCTCCAGACACCGAATCTGCTTGCCTTGATACTGGACTTCTCAGCCTCCAGAAATAAATTTCTGTTCTTTATAAATTACCCAGTCTCAGGTATTTTGTTACAGCAGCACAAATGGATTAAATCACCGTGTTGTTTTAACAAGTTGTGAATTTGTACATGGACAGTTCTGAGATTCTGTGATGCTAAGCTGTAGTGGTTATGAAAGTCTCAGTTCAAAGAGTGGATAAATATTAGGTTCTGAGATGAGAAGTGTGGGTTGTGAATAGTGCTTTGGTCTGAGATCCTCTAACAGGTGTCAAAAGTCCAAACATTCTTCTGTGCCAAGCAGGCAGAGCATGAGACGTCCAGATGTGAGACGGTAGGAAACATGGAGACTATACACACAAGAGTGATTGCCTCATTTATAAGGGTGACCCCTACTCAGCTCCGGCAAACTACTGCCCCATGGGATCGTGCAATCCAGATCTCACAATTTTTCAAGCCAGAAATCTCCATTTTTATGTAAAATTACTCACTTTTCAATGTTGGTAACCAATGTGATTTTTAGTTCTGTGGAGACCAAATACATTCCTGTAAGTTAGATGGTGGCTGTGATCTGTCAGACTGTCATTTCTGTTGTGTGGTTTAGTGGCTCAAAAGGTACACCCTGCATCCAGTTGTCTGGGTTCAAACCTGGACTCTGCTACTTACCGGCTGTGACCTCTGGTAGGTAACTCAACCTCTCTGTGCCCCTATTGTAGCAGTTGTAAAATGGTCATGAAAATAGCCCCATACATCTAAGGATTAACATGAGGACTCAGACTCAGAGAAAGCCAGTTGATGTAATGGCCTACATGGCCCAGATCTCCGCTCCTCTCTTAGGTCACCTCCTACCAGTCTTCCCCCTGCCATCCTCAGCTCTATCCTCATGGGCCCATATGCTCTTCCACAAACATCCCAAGCAGGCTCCCACCTCAGATCTTTTCACCTAATGTTCCCATAGCCCCATGGCTCATTCCTTCCCCTCCTCTAGGTCTCTGATGTCACTTCCTCAGTGAGGCATTCCTTGACCATTGTATTTAAAATCTCAAACTTCACACACACAAGCCTCCCATCCCCCTTCCTTTTTCTTCACAGCACTTATTACATTCTAACATTCTATACATTTTGTATATTAAATACCTAATTACTCTCTTCCCCATTATAATATAAACTCCACAAAGGCAGGAATTTTTGTTCAACGCATTTACCACTATATTCCCAGCTCCCAGAACAGTGCCTGCTGTCTCATAGGTGCTCAATAAATCATTGTTGAATGAATGAGTAAATAACAGTCCCTACCTCATAAAGATCCGATGCAATTGTCCATTTAAAGCACTCAGCCCAGGGCCTGGTCCGCTGTGAGCGCTGACTTAATGATGGCCTTTATGGTAATTCAGGTTCTATTCTTGAAGGTTCTTAGTTGCCAAGCTTCTATGAGTTAACACATGTAAAGCGCCTTAGAACAGGGCTTGGCAAACAGTAAATGCTCAGTAAATGGTAGCTATTATTATAATTAAGCTTCTATTTTCAAAGTAGGTTTGGTGCCAAGCTTCTGTGAATTAGTACCTCCCATCTCAGAGCAAAAGCTCAAGTTTCGACAAGGCTTTAATGAGCTGGCCCTCTGCTACCCTCTGACCTCATCCCAATAGCTCTGCCTCCCTCACTCCCTTCCAGCCACTCTGTCCTCCTTGACACACCCAGCATACTCCAGCTTCCTCCAACCTAGAACACTCTTCCTCACCAATCTGTGTGCACAGCTTGTACACTCCCTCCTTCAGGTCACTGTCACCTTTTTCCAGAGGACTACACTACTGCAAACCCCTATCAGAACTGATCTCCCTTCTCTGCTTTATTTTTCTCCATAGCACTTATAACCATCCTGCATATGCTATATCTTACTTGCTTGTTAATTGTCTCCACCGCAGCCCCTACCCACCCCTGTATAAGCTCCATGAGGACAAGGACTTTATCTTATCCACTGGTGTATTCAAAATGCTTAGTACACAGCAGGTACTCAAAAATATTTGTTTAATGAATTAATGGATCACAGTCCCTACCTCACAGAGTTATTCTAAGAACCTGATCTTATGCAAACCAAGTGCAGCATTTTGTAAGTATAGGGAAAATGGTAGCTATAATTACAATTAAGGTTCTATTTTTATAAGTTCCTAGATACACAACTTCTATGAGTCAATATGTATAAAGTCCTTGGACAGGCACTAGATACCTGGGAAGTGCTCAGAAAGCACAGCTATGATTATAATTAAAGTCCGCTCTGTAGAAGTTCATACGCAATGTGGCAGAGAGCACTAGCTGTCCTCCACAAACTGTTTTCTGGGCGCTTGTCTAGACTGCCTTTCCTAAGCTCCTTTGCAGTTAGCTGCAGCCATGTAACTCATTTCTCAGCAAGGGCACAGCAATGGAAGCCAGGCAGACCTCTGCAGGCTCCTTATCCTATTCTGTCAGAGGACCCAGGCCATTGCCACCCAGCCTTGACAACAGGCTTAACGGGTGGCCTGAGTCCCCAAATCACACACCCAGGAATATTATGCAAATGAGAAAAAATATGTTGTGTTTGAGGCTTTACATGAAGCGGTCTATGATGGAATATAAGCACTTAGTAAACATTAGTTATCTTGGCCACAACGATCCTGAAATTCCTACAGAAGCAGCCCAAGGGGATGGTGGGATAAATGTCCAGGTGCGTGTCTCTCTCTCTCTCTCACATGCATGCGTGCGCACACACACACACACAAACACCAAACACACGCTGGACAGACACACACAGAATTTGGCTTTTATTCTGACCTTCACACATCTACTGCTAAGACAACACAAATTGGCAGAACCCCATCTCCCATGACCACTGTGACCAACCCAATTTCCTCAGCCCCTTCCTCCCACCCCACCCCCCTTCTGCCAAGCTCCCTGGGTGGGGGGGGCTCTGCCTAAACCTCACCCCGAGCATGCAGCATGAAGTGCCCATGCAGCTCCCCGAGGTTGTCAAAGGAATCTTCACACTCTGTGCAGTGGTACGTGCCCTCCTCCTCATCTTCCTCCTCCTCCTCCCGCCCAGCTGGTGGGCCCTCCCCAGCCCGAGGTGGCTCCTCCTCTTCCTCCCTGAGGGCCCTGCCTTCAGGGGCTGGTGCTTCCTGGGGGGCTGTAGCAGGGCAGCAGAGCCGGCAAGGTGGGGTGCCCGGCGGGGCCTCCCCAAGGGGTGAGCGGCCACAAAGCTGGCAGGGCTGGGCTGGGGGGCCTGGGGGCTGGGCTGCACGGGGGGCCCGGCGGGATGGGCCACCCCGGCCGCCCCCCAGGCGCTGCTTCACCTTGTAGCCAGGGTCATATTCAGGATCATCGGTGGTCTCTTCTTCCTCCTCCTCCTCGTCTTCTTCCTCTTCAGAGTCTGGCTCTGAGAGAGTGTATTCAGAGTCAGATGAATGCTCAGGGCCTGTAGGGACACAGATGGGGACAGATAGTGGCCTCAGAGAACAGAGGGCTATGCCCAGCTCTCCCCTCCCTAAGCCCCATTCAAACTTGCCACAGTATGGAGAGGGTAGCGAGGGCAGAACCCTTCCCTTCCTCACAGATGAGTCCCCGTGGCATAGAACAGGGCCTGGCACACAGTAGATGCTCCATATCTATGTATCAAGCAAATGAATGTCTAACGAGAACTGCATTGGGGGAGAGAGTAAGGATAAAGCAGGAACAGTCAAAAAACAGTAACAACAATAATGACAGCATCCACTGCTATTTTTAAGAGCCCTGTTCTTATATATTAACTCACTGAATCCTAACAACAACCCTTTGAGGGAGGTACTTTAATTATCCACAACTGACGAATGGGGAAACAGAGTCACTTAGATGACTCACTTGCCTACAGCCACTCAGCCCTGACATGGAAAGCTAAATATGGGCGATGGCCTATACTACATCATTTTAGGGAGACAAACATTTGAACAGGTATTTAAGCAAATTAAAACACACATTCATAAGAGTGTACTTCAAAAAGTTCATAGAAAGATGCATATTCTATTCTTTCCACAAGCTTTTTGGTACCTGTGTCTGTACTTTGATATATGTCATCATATATATATAAGTGAATTAAAATATTTATAAGTGTGTATATTACTGTGATTTCATGAGGAAGGACATTCCTAGGACAAGTTTAGGTTTAAAAAAAGGAAAAGAGATTGAAAGTCAATGTTCAGGAAAGGGCAACATTAGTGGTCATTCCAGGGGGTGCACACAGCAACGGTTGGGGAGGGGGGTTCCCATGACAGCAGTGAGGGGAATGCCAACTTCTTCAGCCATGGTGGCAGAGGCCTGCGAAAAGCATCTCCTAGGACTAATAGCTTCACCCTGCATCCATCCGAGCTCTCACTTATTTCTCAGTTTCCTCCAGCAGCCCAGATAGATCCCATCACCACTAAGGCAGCCAGGGCAACCTGTCCTCTGCCCTCACTCACGTCATCACAATGGCCACAAGGCCCTCCAGTGCCCCTCTGACCTCATCTCCGACCTCACTAGCCACACTGGGCTCCTCATCATCCCTCATCACCAGGCATGCACCCACCTCAGGGCCTTTACCCACCCTTTCTGCAGATGGACTAAGCTCATTCCCTCCCATCCTCCATGTCTCTGCTCAAGTGTCACCGTCTCAGTGACACCATGGCCACCCTATCTAACCAGCAATCCCTCCCCAGCACTCCCTATGCCCCTCACTCTGCTTTACTTCTCTCTCATCTTCTGACTCACTGTATACAACATTTACTTGTGTGTTTGTCTGTCCCCAAAAGCAGGAACTCTGGTTCACTGTCATGTCCCCAGCACCTAAAACACAGCACCTAGAACATTTTCTTTGTGCCTGCATATTTGTGGAATGGATATCTTTGCATTCAATTTGACAAACCTTTTCTGAGGCCTTCACATGTGCTGTTCCCTCTGCTGGGAATGTCCTGCCCTATTTTCCCTAGTTTTTTCCATCATCCTTTGGGATCGAGTAGGAGGCTTCCTTCTTTGGTGAGGCCATCCCAGACCTCCTCATCCCAGGCAGCCAGTCACTTTTTCTACTGTCCTCCCACTGTCCCAGTCCCAAACCGCCATGGCTGAGGCCATCTGTGTCCAGGTTCTTTCCCCACCAGACCAGAGGACAGGCCTAGTCTGATTCATTGCTGGGTCTCTGGCATCACGAGCCCAGAGTGGGTTATAAGTATTTGCTGAGCGTCCCTCCCGGCAGCTTTCTGTCTCATTAGTTCCCGCCCCTGTCCTGCAGTCTCCTTGCCATTTAACAAACATTTCCTGAGGCCTTGGCATGGGCTGGTCCTTCTGTGACCTTCGGGACCCAGCACAGTTTCCATCCTCTATGAAGCCGCCACCATGACACCCCAGGCTCCCAGTCAGGGGTCTCTCCCCAACTTTTCTGCCTTGGTACCTCCTGCCCCAGCATCTCCCCATCACTGTCCTAGAGGTTGTGGCCATCTGGGCCCAGAATGTCTCCCCCATCAAACTAAGACTACTCAAGGGCAGGTCTGATTTCGGGATCCCCAACACTGCCCAGGAGAGGACAAGTGGGTCAACAGATGACAGTGCTCTCAAGGCCCTGATCTCCCTCCAGACCTCTGCCTCTGATCTCCTCTCACCTGGGGTGACCCTTTCCTTCTCTACTGGCAAACTCCTGTTCCTTTTTAACACCCAGCTCATATGTCACCTCCTCTGTGAAGTATTCCTTGTCTCCCCAGGTGGTCAGTGTCTCTTTTGTCTGGACTCCCCCTGCCCCGGCACTGCCCTCCATAACGCCCTCCATCACACCCTGACCACCCTTGGCAGTGACCATCTCTGGGTCTAGAGACTGGAGAATCCTCACAGGACCTGGATCTGACCCATCTCTGTGTCCCCAGCAATGCTGAACATGAGTCAGCCTCAGGAGACATTTGCTGAATGGCTGCGAAACAGAGCAAACATCTCCAGCCTTAGGCCAAGGCCCCTCCCCTCTCTCCTCTCACCTCTGACTTGACACCACCCACTGTCCAGGTTCTTCAATGCCCACTATGACTTCATGCAGTTGGCCTGTGACAGGCAATCAGGTTGTCGTCCATGGCTACCAGGTCTTTCCTGTCCACCGTGACTTCCAGGACCACAAGCCCTTTTGCACCCACCATGCCTTCTCCACCTAAGAGATCTTCAAAGCCCAGCATGTCTCCGGCATCCACTGGACCTTCCGTGCCCACTGCAGCTTCCACACCTCCTGCCTCCTTCAAGACCAAATCGGCAGTACCCAACAGGTTGTCAGTGCCCACCAAGCCATCAACATCCCCCAACTTGGTCATGAGCCCAAGCAGTTCCAAGTCCACCAAATCAACAAGTACAAAGAGAGCCCCTTCTAAGCCACCCAGCAGCAGGTCCCGAGTCCACAGCAAAGTGAGAACACCAAGAAGGGTAAGCACCGACACCAGGGCCAGCACCGACTCCAGGGCAAGCAAAGCCAGCAAGGCCAGCGGTGTGAGACACCACCAGCAGAGGAGCACACAAAGCCGGGGCAGAACTCCTGGTAGAAGAGGAAGCCGCAGCTCCAAGAGGTCACCCAGCAGGGCCAGCACTTCCAGCAGGATGAAAACTCATGGTGCCAGACCAGGCATGGCCAACAGGGTGAGAACCCCTACTTCCCAGCAAAAACAGAGTCGGGGTAAGAGTTCCAGCCAGCGTAGAACCAACAACCAGGAAAGGAGTGACAGCCAGCCTAGAAGTATGAGCAGGGAGAAGAGTTACAGCCCACCAGGAGCCTCGGGTATGGAAAGGAGTTCCAAGCTGGCTATAACCCCAAGCAGGGCAAAGAGTCACAGCCCAACTAGAACTCCCTTCAAGGAGAAGAGTTACAGTCAGTCTCCATCATCACTGAGGAGGGTGAAGAGTTACAGTCAGATGATCACCCCCAGTAGAGAACAGAGTTACAGTCCAACTGAAATGCCAAGCAGGGTCAAGAGTTATAAGCTGGCTAGCACCCCCAGCAGGACCCAAAGTCACAGCTGGTCTAGCACACCCAGTAGGACCCGAAGTTGCAGCTGGTCTAGCAGCCCCAGCGGGACCCAAAGTGACACCTCGTCTAAAATCCCCAGAAGGGGAAGAAGTCGCAGTCGAAAGAGGACTTACAGTAGGGTGAGAAGTCCCAGTTGGAAGAGAAACCATAGTAGGGCAAGAAGTCGCACCCCGAAGGGAACTCCCAGCCAGATGAGAAGACATAGCCAGTCTAGAATCCACAGCAAGAGAAAAAGTCAAAACCAATCTAGAACCCCCAGAAGGGAAAGAAGTCACAACTGGTCTAGATCCCCCAGCAAAGAAAAAAGTCACAGCCAGTCTAGAAGCCCTAGCAAGGAAATAGATCATAGCCGATCTAGAACATCCAGCAAGGAGAGAGGTCATAGACGATCTAGAACCACCAGTAAGAAGAATGATCACAGCCGATTTGAAACCCTCAGCAGAGAGAGAGATCACAGTCAGCAATCTAGAATCCCCAGCAAGGAGAGAGACTGCAGCCAATCTGGAACTCCCAGTAAGGAGAGAAATTACAGCCGATCTGGAACCCCCAGCAAGGAGAGAGGGAACAGCCAATCTAGAACCCCCAGCAAGGAGAGAGATCCCAGTCAATCTACAATCCCCAGAAGTCTCAGTTGGAAGAGTTCACCTAGCAGGACAAGGAATTCCAGTCAGAATAGAACCCCTAGCAAGACAAGGAGCCACTCTCTATCACCATTTTCCAGAGGAGCCCAAACGCTGAGCCAGGAGGATAGTCAAGCCACCTCAAAGGCTCCCTCACCTGGGGAAAGGTCTTCATCGTCTTCTTCCAAACTGGCGTAGCCCCCAGTCTCAGCTGGCTCACGGGTCTCTGTCATGGCTGGGGGAGGGGACAGGAGACGAGCAGAGCAGCAGCTGAGCAGTGTCCCTCCCCAGCCACACCTCCAGCCACAAGTTCTTCTCTAACACAGGATGTTGGCAGGTACAGAGGGATGCTGAACAAGGGAAAGAAAAGGCCTGTGATGACTCAATAAATTTTTACATAGCACCTGTCCCCACCCCAAGCCCAACTGTGTGCTCAGTGCTGAGGAGGAGGTAAAAATGGCCCCACCTTTTGTCCCTGACTGCCTACTGGGCACTGACTGCAGGACCTGACCCTCTGTAGGACTTTAATTTCCACATCTAAGCAATAAGACTGCTGTGGTTCTTATTCAATGGGGTAGGGAGAGGTGACATTCCAAACATTTAACAGTAGGTACTTGCATGGTTACCAGTCAGAACCAAGAGTAGAGCAGGAGCCTATGTGAGTCATTAACCCTTTAGCTGCTGAACTGTGTGGAAGTTCAGGGCTGGGGAGGGTCCAATGTGACAGTGAGGAATAGGGAGTACTTGGTATAGCAGTGATATACCAACCAGTCTGGAAGTATTTCAATATTTAAACAAATGGCAAGGCTGCAGCTGTTTGTGAATGTCAGCCTTAGTTTTTTGGTTTTTTAATTTCATCTTTTATATTTTAATCTTTTTCTCTCTCCCTGTCAGCCTTAGCTCTATATCAATCGGCAAGACAGTGACTGGGTTTGAATCCTAAATATCACTATCTAGCTGTAAAGCTACAAGGAAAGGACCTAACTTCTCTAGCCTGTTTCATTCTCTATAGGAAAGGGGCTTCCATGCCTTAACTCATGTTCTCCTCATAAACCATGTTGAGAGATTACCTCCTTATTGCAAATGAGGAAACAGGCACAGAGAGGCTAACGAGTAGCCCAAGGTCACACCATTTGGTAGGTGGCTGAACCAAGATTTGAAGCCATGTCATCCTACCTCTCATAAAATCTCTCAGCTCACAAGATTTTTTGAAGATTCAGTAGGCTCATTCATATAAATTGCTGTTATATGGCAAGTATTCCAATAAACAGTGGCTGTTACTACTCCTACCCCAACTCTCTGTAAACTTCAGCCATTCCAGACTTTTCACCTTTCCCTGTGCCTTTTCACCTTTTTCACCTTTCTCAGGCCTTTTCACATTTGTGGGTCTTAGTAGACACTGCTTTTGCTGTCTAGAGAGTGCCCTCCTTCCCCCTTGTCTGCCTGGAGAACTCTTTTTCACCTTTCAAAGCCCACCACAAACATTAAGAACCTCTATACTTCTTCCCAGCCCAAATATTACCTCTGCCTTTCCTAGTAAGGCTTCCTTCATGCCTTTGTCTCTTTCTTCAGGAAGAGACCACCCCCCACACACACACACCCACACCCACCCACACACACCTTTTGTCTCCCACTGCACTCCCTGACAGTAGAGAGCCTTGCAGGGGCAGTTAGTGAAGAGGCCAGCCGTAGCTCTTATATGCCAAGGCCTATGCTGGGCACTGGGGATACAGAGGTGAAAAATACCCGGTCCCTTCAAAGCCTGGATGTCAAGTTTAATGCTGGGCACTAAAGAGGGAAAGATTCAGATTGAAGCCTGGAAGAGGCTGGACTATGGGGAGGGCTGGCATCATTGGCAAGGGAACTTCCTAAAGAAGGCACCTGGATCTGGGCTTTTAAGGACACAAAGAATTGATAACTGGCAGAAGAGAGTTCTCATGACACCCTATTGCCTGTAGGGGCCCATCTAAGTTGAAACTTCTACTTTATACCAGGATAAGATTGCCAGATTTAGCAAATAAAAACAGAGGACACCCAGTTAAATTTCAACTCCAGATAAACAACAAATAATTACTTGATACATGTGTATTCCATGCAATATTGGCCAGGAACTTTTCTAAGAGATTTGTTGTCTGAAATTCAAATTTAACTAGGCGTTCTGTATTTTATCTGGCAACCATACACCAGAGACAATCAGGACTTCCCATGTGGCTACCAGGAGACAATGTCCACCAGCCTAAACCCTTTCCCAAGTCCACATCACACAAGGCCCCTTCCAGAATATTCCAGACATCACGTAGAAGCATCCCTTGGTGCATAAGTCCCACTCCCACAATGCCTATGGCGGCCACACTGGCTCCCATGATCTCAGAAGGGCATAAATGAAGCTCCCTCATTATAATCGGGCAAATACAGTGCCGGAGACCTCACAATGCCCTGAGCCTACAGCAACCAACTCCCATGATGCCCCGCGTGAGGACAATAGGCACGCGTTCCCACAATGCTAGGGCAAGACCAGAACAGAACCTTATGCAAGATAATAAGGACCAGTTCCCACAATGCCCTACGGCAATTCTTCCCAGCATGCCTCGGGCCTATAATGACCACCTTCTAAGAAGCCCTGCGTCGAAGCATTCCAAGCTTTCAGGATGTGTTGTGAAAGGTGTGCGTCAAAAGGGACCAGTTCCCCACAAGGAGGTAGAATAATCCTTCCCAGAATGCACCAGGCCTGTAACGACTAGCCGACCGACTCCCACAATGCCTTAAGGCGGGACGTTTTCCCCAGGGCGGTGCGGAGGGGCGTGGGGGTAGAAAAAGGAGCCTGGTCTCGCCCTCAGGCCACCTAAGGCCCAAACCGCTGCCGGCTCCCCGGTGACCGGAGCGGTCACTCCCATCATGCAGCGAGCCCATAGCGCCCGCTTCCCGGCATGCCCCGCGCAGCCCTGCCCCGGACACTCACCGGCGCTGGCGGAGCGCGTTCCGGCTCGGCGCTGGCGGCTGCACTCCTGGGCCCTGCGCCTGCGCTGCAAGTAGGGCAGGAGGGAGCGAAAGGGGGTGAAGAGCCTAGGGCGCTTGCGCAGCGAGATGGACCGTTCCTGTCGCTCTGTGGGAAGGGGGGCTAGTCGAGTCGGACCACCGACGAGAACCGCGCAGGGGTTGCCGTGCTCTGCCCCTCGCTGGCCGGGTTTACTTGGTACAATCCGCGTCCTGACGGAACGAGAAGCTGCAGGGCTCGCGCGTGCGTGTGCAGGGCAGGAACGCACCTTATAAATGGGATGCGCTGGGGGTGGGGGGCGCCAATTCGGCCTGGATCGTGGACTGGTGGCCTGCTTATTTGCATAACATTAGCGCGGGACAATGGAGGGCCTCCTACACTGGAAGTGGTGATTTTCATATTCCTCGGAGAGGCCGTACTCCTGAACGCATTGATTAGCATATGTGGGGAGCCTGAGCAAAGCGCATGCGCACAGAGACTGCAGACTAGCGCGAAGTTGGTAACCTTGTCTTGGTCGGGGATCAGATTGCATCCGAGAGAGGGCACAAGGGTCAGGACACCTACCAACTCTCCCAGCCCTACACCAGGATAAATATTTATTGATCTAATATATCAAGCCCTGTGCTGGAGCACAATATGGTTCCTACAGTGAACAAGACAGGCCCCGACACTATCCTCATGGTGCCCTAGTCAAAGATCTACACCGATTTAGACAACTACAGCCCAGAAGGTCTGACTTTGAATGGGTGGAGCATAGAAGGTCGTGGGAGCCAGAAGAGGTGCCTGCCAGAGTCTGGGGTTCTGGAAAGGCTTCCAGGAGGTGGTAATCTTTAAGCCAGGTATGAATGGGAACCAACTAGAATGAGAGTCTTTCTGGCCCAAGAAACAGCAAAGACAAATGCCTAGAGGCAAGAAAAAAAATGCGTGGTTTGAGGAAGCGCAAGCAATTTAGTATGTCTGGAACACAGAATTGGAGAGGCGAAAGGCTTTATGCTCAGTATAACGGGATATTCCCTCTTCCTGGAAGAAGTGGCTTTGTCACATTCCAGCTTAAAACTCTTCAAGGGGTCCCATTAGACTTAGCCAAAAATCCAAACTCTTTATCATGGCCTCAGGGACTATATTCCTGGTCTGGCCCTGCTTATTTTTATGACCTCACCCACCTCTCCTCTTTATCCACTCCTGTCTAGGTCTGCTCTGCCTCAAACACTCCAATCTCTTTTACCAGCTCAAGCCTTTACCCTTTGCCTGAAAATGCTTTTCTCTGTGATCTTGTAAGAGCTGCTCTTGGGTTCATCATTTGTATCTTGGCATAGATGTCAATCTAAGAGGCTTTCATTGATCTTTCTGTGTGGGGTTATGGATAAATCAAGATTAACCATGAGTTGGTGGTTGTTGAAATTGGGGTGAAGAGTACATGAAACTTCATTGTCCTGTTCTATCTACCCTGATATGAACGAATGAGGGGCCTAGGATGTCAGACTAAAACGTTGTTAAGTAAAGAATTAGAGGAGGCCATTGTTTTGGTACTGTTCCCCTTACCCTGCATTTCACCTTAATAGTCCTTATCATAATCGAAATTAAGTTTCTTTGCTTCCTTGCTTATAGTCTTCATGAAGGTAAGAATGGAGTCGCCCTTTTTCACTTTGGGTCCCCTGTGCCTAGAGCAGGATCAAATTCAGATTAGTTTTAAAGTGTCTGTAACACCTAATATTTGCCTGTTTTATTCCCCATGGACTCTCCAGAACTTTGAGCAGCACCTGGTACATTATAAGAGGTTATTTTTTAACCTAAGGTTAGAATAATACATCTAAAATTTAGATGAATAAATGAGGAGGCTAGCATGCCAAACTAAAATTAGATCAGCCTGAAGAATATGAGAAAAAAAAAAATTAGAGGAGGCCATTGTTTTGGACTAAGCTCCTGCAATAGACCCCAACAAACCAGACTAAAAATCAAAATGGAGTAATCTTGCTAAAGATCCCTGCTACCAAACTCAAACTAAGTTATCTGACATTCTGAGAAACCAGGAGAGACAACCAGTTTCCCAAAGAGGCCAGTTTCAATCTTCAATCAGCATGATAATGAAGATCCCTCTCCTTTCATTCTTACACAAAAGTAGCCTGAAGTAACCTGATGTTAACTAATCTTTTTCTACTGTTGTCTTCCTGTTTCCACAATTTACAAGAAAATTAACTAATGTGCTGTTTGCTTCTGCTTTCTTCATGCCCTTCTTTGTCTATAAAGCCAGGCTCTTCTGCTCCACTCATTGGAACACTTTTTCTATTTTATGGAATAAAATGTTGCCCAATTCTAGAATCGCAGTAAAGCCAATTGAGATCTTTAAACTAAATTCCTTGTAATTTTGTCCTCTGACAGATCTTTGACTTAATCTGGAGGTGATGGAGAGCTAGGGAAAGGTTTTGAGCAGGGCAAGAACAGGATGAGATGAGAGTAATTGAAAGTTCTCTTGGAGACTAATGTCAGGGGTGGGGGGAAGCCAGGGTAAGGGTGCTGGCCATGGGAATGGAGGAGCTCAGTAGCTACCAAAGAGACAAGACTTGGTGACTATTTGGCTGAAGAAGTGGCCAGGAAAAATACTCAGCTACCTTGGGAAAGTGGAGGTACCGTAGGTGAGGTCAAGACCCTCTCCTGGCTTATACTCTCCACCAGCAACCTTCACACTTCCCTCCCTCCCCCTCAGTTCCCCTCCCAATGGTGCAGCCCTGGCAGAGGGACAGACACACAGCCACCCCAAACACTTGTTCTCTCCTCAGTTTAATGATGGTTAGTGGGATTGCCAAACCCTCTCCCCATTCCCCTCCCCGCCCCGTACAAAATGTGTTTTGTTTTGTTTTTTTTTAACAAGAAAAAGGGGGCAAAAGCCAGGAATGGGGGAGGTGGGTGCAATCTGATATTTTCATACAGATTTTTGATTTTTTTAATATATTATATATAAAACCATAGAGAACACGTATCCCCCCAGACTCCTTTCCCCCTCCTCGGGGGGCCTGGAGGAGAGATGGGAAAGGCCCCCCCAGGAGTGGGTGGACAGAGAGACAAATATGGGTGGGACAGACGTGAGGGGAGGAGGTGGAGGAAAGGGGTGCCCAGTAAGCTGGGGAAGGGGATTGGAGAAAAGGGTTGGGGCTGTCTCCCTCACTGACCCGATCAAAGTGTGTGTTATGACACAAAGACACAGAATCCCTGTTTCCATGCCCTCCCCCCACCCGTACCCCCACCGTGCAAACATGGCTTTGCAAAGAGGTGCCCAGAGCTCTGTGGAACTCTTACAATGGCTGGCATGGGGTCTGGAACCCCCAAAGAAATCTGTTTCCCTTCCCTGCCCACCCCGCCCTTCCTAGAATCTGACTCCCTCCCCACAAGACCTGGTTCTGTAGCCTAGGGGCCCTGGCCTTCCCCCAGTCATCTTCACCCAACCCAATCCCTACCGCCCTCCCTGGACTTGGGGGGTCTGGACCTTTGGCCTCTGCCCCCTGGGGGACCTAGACCTCTGAGCCCTCATTTCTGGCCCTTGCAGAGATCCAGGTATCCAACAGCCCCAATCCCTGCCCAAGCGTCTGAGGTGTTAGTGGTGGGGGGAGAAGCCCACCATCCCAGACTCTGGTAAATGTCTTTGCTGGTTCCTTGCAGCTGGCAGTGGGGAGGACCCCAGCCCAGGCCCAGGCCTGGGATGGGGGTGGGGTCAGATGAAGAATTCTTCTTTCCTCTTGTGTCCATCGCTGCCATTGAGGAAGGCTTCTCTTGCTTCTCCCTGCTCATCCAAACCACTGGCCTCGTGGGTCAGATAGGAGCCTGAGGGGGTGACAGACCCCCGGGCAGAGGGGACATTTATATGTGGACCCAGGAATTGGACAGAAATATATGAGAAGAGGATAAACAGACAAGACAAATACCAGACGAAAGAAGAGGGAGAAATGGAACACACAGGGAGAGGGAGTCAAGTCCAGAGAATAGCAAAAACAGTGGCAGAGAAAGAGGTAAAAGCAGAATTAGGAAGATTCCAAAAGTTCACGGGAAGATCCGCCCTTTCCCCTTCTCTTGGTGGCATCCCCTTGCTCTGTTCTCAACGAATCCAGCAATTAGGAAGATAAGTTGTTTTATTAAAATCCATGGCGTTAATTCGTCCTCATCCCTTTATCATTAATTCAGTTTCATCACTTTTAGAGTGCTAGGAGTAAAGCTCCCCACTTTGGAATTTTGACCTCAGATCCCGCTGGATTTCGAATCCTGGGTCTAGGCTCCGTCCCTTCATTATCCTGGGTCTGTGCCTACACTTTGCCTAACCTGGGCTCTAGGCCCCGCCCTTTTCCAGATCCCATAACCAACCACACCCCTAGCTGAATTCAGGCCCCGCCCCCACTCACCCTTCTGCCGTACAGAGCACCAGACCATGCCCACTAGCACACATATGATCAGAAACACCAGCAGCGCCAGGATGCCGCCCACAATGGCGTAGGGAACCGACGTCTGAGCCTCTACCACCGCACCGGGGTCTGCCAGAGGGACAGGGCGCAGGGCCAGTCATCAGAGGATGGTCCCAATTCAGCCCCATCGCTGCCAAATTCTTAAGCCAGTCAGCACACCACATCTAACCACACCCTTTTACGTGCCACACCCCTCAGAATTACTGCCACCTGTAGTCCTTTCTCATGGCTCCACTCTTTGCCGATGCTCCACTTCCTCAAGAAACGCTTGTTTGTTTGTACAGTGCCTGACCCTGTCACTGAATTTTTGCTAAAAAAAACTCCCTCCTCTCCCTCACCCCCCTCCCCCAGAAGACAGAAACAGCACGTCGCTTTTCTTTTTTTGGCTGGCCAGTCCTTTTCTTTTGACTCAGTCCCCCCGCACCCCCGAAGAAACGGAGTTACAGACCAGGTCCAAGTCCCTTCCCACCTTGTCCAAAACGTTCCAGATATTTAAAGTGCTGGACTAGGGCCCAACCACTTCCAAAATTCCTGCCCCACCGTAATGAGCTAAACAGAAAGCACATTAAGTGCTAGGGGCCAT